TTTGAATCAATCTGACTGGATGATCTGGTGAACTGGAAAGTGACCTGAGATGACATGATGTGAATTGGAGCTATAGAAATAAACTGAATAGAATTGAACTGAAATGTATTTGCTGTATGACTTGTGCTAGCACGTTTCTGTGTACTTCAGTGTACCCATAAGTTCCACCACTAAACCAGCGTATTTGCCAGATATTTCGTACGTCAGACATTCGTTGGTCTAAATCGTCAAGTTGTGACATCGGCTTTAAATCCGAGGTCAGGAGGTCACAGCGTGCCGGAGAACGGGTTAGAATCTGTGCCTTGTTTCCTGTAATGTATAGAAAGTGTTGATGCGTGACATGATGCGTGTGCTGCAGCGTTCAGAGCGGATATTAATCTGTTCCATTTGTCCAACAGGTGGCCGAGGCTGATGCCGATCCTCAATGCAGAGAAGGTAACCAAGAAGATCCTCCATGCTGTCCTCACAGACCAAACCTACCTCCTGCTGCCTAAGAGCATGTACCTAATGGTTGCTCTGAAGAAGTGAGTTTTTACTTTAGCATCCTACTTTTAAAGGAGGGATCTAGACGGGGATATTAGAGGAGTTTAAAAATGTTTTCTATCCATGAGGAATTCCATCCAGAAAGAAGCTGCTTCCTCTCTGCTGGTTTCCGCGTCTTCAGCTGATATCAGACGTTACTCTGAGTTTATCCGCTTTGACGGCGGTTCCTAAAACCCAGAACAAACTGCGTACGACTTTTTAAGTCCGATCCGATTGTTTTCCATGTCCCTCAGCCTGCATATAGAGCAGCTCTGACCAGGCAGGCTGAGCAGATTCTTCAGGTTTCGCTCTCTGTGCTACAAACACATTAATTCCACATTTAGATTGGAACTGATCAGGAAACATTTATTAAAATAAATAAATAAAAGCTGCTGGTGCATTCTATAAAGCAAAGCTCTACTTTTAACTGGTGTTCAGATGCAGGTGGTTCTTCTCACACCAGTCCACTAAGTTCATGATAAATATATTCAAGAACATATTTAGTTTTTACTACTTTTTGGTTCCCAGTTCCTTTATCATGATGATGTTTAAGTTCT